TTTTTTTTTTGGGGGGGGGGGGGGTATCTCCTTCTGGATAGTAAACTGTATGATACCTTTAATAAACTATTCTGCACTTAGAATTGTGTAGCTTAATGTTTTAGATACCTTTTGATGCAAGTCATTAAGTAGCATCAGATTAGAGCACAAGTACTGCAACGGGAATTTGTCATTATCCCACTGCCAATTTTAACACAAAATAAATTCTGACTAACCTTTTGAGCCTAGAGAAAAAGCAGAGATCTTTAGTTTGAACTAACTAACATTAGAGTACATTAGCAACTGTTTCAATATCCATGACCTCTATGCCAATGTGTTTTTTCACCTACAATAACTCATTAAGGGGAAAAAACATGATCTGGAGCCAATGATGTGGTAGTGACTGGGATGAAAATGTAGCTTCTCCATTAGCAATATTGTAACACTCCTTTTAGAAACTCAGACCTAAAAAATAGTAAAATGGCCTTTGACAGTTCTTAACAAGTTGAGAGACACAAACTTGACAGAACAAGAGCATAAAGGTATATGCCATCTCATCTGTGTCTTACCAGTAGATAAGCTTTCATACAAAATCAAAAACAGTGGAAGCAGAATACATACAGAACTGTTCTCACCCCATTTATTACAGAGCAAATTATTATTCACTGCCCAGATCCACAGTTGCTAGAGTAACCATTCCCTTTGAGACAGACCTGTCTTATAGCCATTATGGGACACAGGATAGTGATTGGTATATCTTAAGAAAACAAAAATAAATCTAGAAGACCTCTCTACTGTTATGGTAAAAACAGACTTGTGTTGGAATTTTCACTGCCAATCTACTGTCAAATTTCATCTTAGATTAAAGAATATTATAAAAGGGGAAAAAATAAATATTTTCCACCACCCATCCCTCCCCCCATTTTTGTTTGTATGTTTGACAGAGCTTTAATAAGTCAATTCCCTGATTTCTTAGTCAGCTTCCCTTTTTGTTTGTGTTGATCTTTTACATAAAAGCAGGAGAAAAAGTATTAAGAAAGCTTGTTTGTAAAAACACAAATTGGCAAGGGACTCACAAGCAGCATAGGATTTGAAGGAACTTTCATGGTTTTTTTTTGCAGAACAGGAAGTGAAGAAAATGCAGAAAAATGAAGGAGAGTTATTTAGACTTCAAGTCAACTGCAGCACTTTAAAGCTCTGAATTAGTATTTGCATCATATTAATCAGTCCTTTCTTCAACATCTGCACTGCTAAATGCTGTATTTAACCTTGATGATTATAACCTTTGCCTCATCTCTATCCCTGACATACTTCATCTCAGAGGTCAGACGCACTTAGAACTTTGGGGAAGTAATTACAACTTACCAGCATACTATGGTTTGTCATTCATATCATATATCAATCTCTTCCTAACACAGTGATGCCATGAAACCAGCTGATCTGTTGGAGCTATTAGTATTGTAGTGAAAATTCTCATACAGACCTTCCTAAACATACCTAATATACCTATGTATAACCTTCTGACATAATCAAGGCTTCATATAGTCCCACGTATCACAAAAGGAGTCTGAAACAAATGTGAAAGGGACTACCCAAAACAGACCTGAAACCCCACATGTACAATGAAGGAGTGATCTGTGGTAACATTCTCTGAGGGAGAAACTTGTATCTCAGGGAACCTAACAAATACCTGAGACTTGGCTGCAAATTGCAGATCTTTCAGTTACGAAGGCTTTAAAATTAAATTTCCTACTGGACAGAAAGTTTTCGGTTTCCATTAAATACAGTGACAGCCAAAGATCATTTCTAATACCCACAGCCTGGCTTGAAAGATTAACATCTGAAAGCCAAAGCAAGTTTTCTACAATCAACTTCATATTATTTACAGATTTTTTCGGTTAGCTGTAGGTTCTGTCAACTTATTTATCACTGAAAATTACTGCACTTATTTTCAAGGCAAACAGTTAAAAAACCCTTTAATTTCCACACTTGCAAGGTGACTCAAACATAGTATCAGTATTAAAAATAGATTTTCCCCAAGATGGTTAAGAAATTATTCAGAGGCATCCACCAGTGTAGTTTGTTTTTTTCTGTAGCAGCTAAGCCGTTTGGCCATATATTTAATTGATAGCTTATTCCCAACCCTTAATACTTCTGCCTGAGCATGCAAAAAAATATTTGCTTAAAAAGATAAAAGCAGTTCTTCCAATCAACACTAAATGAAAACTGACACCTACAAAGTGCTTTAAACCAAAAAGTTCAATAAAGTTTTGCAGAACTCCCCAGACACCATATCAAATTGATGGAGCAAAGGATATTATTACTGCCCCAACAGAGTGAGCTGACTGTAGGTGAGGAAGAATGGGGGTTGAACTGCTCCACCACTGTGATAGATGAAGAATCCCATATTTTAACATCGTCTCCTGCTGAAGCAAAGCGGATGCTTTCCTGCATGGCTGCACCTACAGGCATAAACATAAGCATAAAGAAAATAAGGTCAGCAACAGTTCCTTGTGCTGGTTAAGAGGAAGATTTCCATCTGTAATCAGCAGCATAATTTTCATGATAAAATGACAAAACAGTGAGCTGAAGACATTAACTCTTACGCTCTAGATGCATCTTATTTAGTCTGTAAGGTGCATCTATACCCTGCAAACTAACAAGCGAACTAACACAGCTAACGGTATGCAACCAACCCAAACAAATGGAATTTGTTGCCCCAAAGGTTAAAATACGTTTCAGATGTGGTTACTTTCTATGGTACCATACCTAAACTTTTTGTGTACTGCATGTACGTTGTATGTGCTGAGCCTGTCAACATACTGTATCCCCCAAGTAAAACACGCTGTTTTAGGAAGACAGAACCAAGAAGGGAAAAAAAAGACTTCCTCTTAAGCAGTGTTCGGAATCAGTGTCCTTATTTGAGACACACATCCCAACCTTTGAGTATTAACTTTCAAGGGTGGAGGGAAGCGAGTGTGGTATGTGAATAAATAAGTTATTAGCAAACAAAAGGTTGGCAGTCTATAAAGCAACCTGATTACCATCTGAAAACTCTTCCTTGGGCAGGTTGGGTCACTACTACGGACAGCTTCCCCAACCTTCCTTGCTTTGACCAAATAAGCAGTGGGGAGAAACACTGCTCCTTTGGTGGCTTCACACCAAGCCACAATGACTCCAGCCCCACAACAGCACATGGAGCCAATCAGGCTACAGCCCAAACCGACCCTCCCGGACAGTTTGAGGGGAAGAAGGACCCTCGTTTTGGTGGGAAGGTCGGGGGCACCGAACCCAGCCTGCGAGGTCCTGTCAGGCGGCCTGCAGGGCTGCCCACAGGCGTGAAAGGTTGGTGACTGGGAAGCGGTGGTGATGTTATTCGCCACTCGCCTGCTGCCGGTTTCTGGGCCAGCTGGGTGGCGGGGAGGGGGCTGGAAGACATGGCCCCGTATGCTCGGCTGTGCCGGCGCACGGCTGGCAGGTGGTATCGCACTGAGACGGACCAGGGCCAGGCACTGAGGTAAAGCAGACCTGGCGGGCGTCACGCGTGGGTGCCACCCAGGGGCCGCCAGCCCCGCCCTGGCAGCCGCTCCGGCAGCCCCCCAGCCCGGCCAGGCGGGACATACCGCTTCGTCCCCAAGCCTGCCAGCACAGTTGGAAACAACTCCCCCCACCCCGCGGGCGCGCGCTTTGGAACCGCCCGAGACGGCCGGCGGGCAAAGCCGACCAGAGAAGGGACCAGGTCCAGGACACCCACCCGCGCCCGGAGCCCGCGCGCCCGGCAACTCAGCACCCGCCCCGGCCCGGCCGGGCCTCCGCTACAGCGCCCGCCTCATGCCGGCAGCCCGGAGGTGCCGCGGACTTTCCGCGCCTCTTGCAACTTAACAGCCCGTCCCAACAGCCACCGCAGCGCCCTCACCCCGCCCCACGGCTCAGCCTACGGCTGCCCAGAGGGGCCAAAAGGCGCGCGATTGCGTTCGGTTGCCTCTGGCGGTGGGGGCGGGGCCTCATGCGCACGTAGGGCGTAGATTTGCCCGGTACAAATGTTAGGCGAGAGCTGAGTCCTTGTCCCAGCTCTGCATAAAGCTGAGGTCAGGCTGAGATTAGGGGGGAAAAAACCCTTTTGGGATCACCTCACCATCCCCCGTAGGGGGATAAGGGACCGAGTGCAGCTTCATGCTGTCCTGACATAGTAGGGCCGGGCGCGAGGCGAGGCTTTCCCGCAGTGACAGTCAGGCCTGAGGAAGAAGGTCCGCCTTGATCCCAGCCACGCGGTCGGTCCAATTAAAGCCGGAGCCGGCCCTAAAATCCGTACGTCTCACCTCATGTCGAGACCCTTGCAGCTACACCACCACTGCGGGAATAAAGTTGTCACCCGTGCATGAAGGCGAGGTAAGGTGGCACTGGAGAGGAGTAGTTCTCTGCTTTTCTAGAGGCTAGGCACTCTCCTCAGACTCCGGGGCCCCCAGAAAGTGTGAGCTCTGAGTTTTCCCTTAATTAAAAAAAAAAAAGTTGACCACGGTAAAAATACTAGAGCCAATCTTGTGTGGCAAAGGACGGATTGGGTGCTGCAAAATCTTCTTTGAACCCGTGGTGGGACACCCTTGAAAGGGTCTCAAGGCACTAAGAGTTGCCATGGGCCCCCAGCTGGGCAAGCCGCCCACACGTCTTAGCACTACCTAGCGTTTGGCACAGTCGCACTACAGGCCAGCAGGGGCCTGGAGGACTGAAAGGTAAGAATACCCCTCTCCAATTCCCAGCTTCCCTCCTCCCACCAGTAGCTACCAGCACTGCCTGTCACAGAGGAGCAGATGGGTAAAGATTAACTGGCCTGCCCAGATGCCACTGCTGGCTGCTGCTCTTCCGGCTGAGCCCACTCGGAGAGCAGCAGTAGTGGTTGGTTAACTCTTCCCTGCCTGCTCCCCAGGACAGACAGGGGAGGCAGCCACAAGTAAGCAGGGATCTGGGGAGGGCAGGGTGGGACAGGAAGAGCAATGTGATCTGGGCCCAGCTGGAAAGGGGGACAGGTGGAGTGTTTACACTAAGGTGTACCCCAGAGTGGTTGCACCTTGGTGTAACACAAGCTGGGCAGCACTCTCATGGGTTCAGAAAGAAGCTGCACACCTGGAGTGGTGTATCTTTGAGGCACTTAACGAGCTCGTAAAACCAGTTTCAGGTGTTAATGCTTGGATAGTCCAGGTGTTGAGCGCTCCAAGAGTTGCCCAAAATTACCATGCAACAAAGCCTTTGGAGACTAGCTCAGAGAAGCATAGGCTTCCATAAGCATCAGCCTACTTCCTCAGATGCTGTCTCCTATGAAAGCTTACACCTCTCTGAACCAGCTTGACTAAGGTGCCAGCCTGCCTATCTTCAGCAAAAAATAAAATCTCAAACTTAAGTTTTGGTCTTAACTTAGCCATTTAGAACCATTTTTAATCATCAGTTTTACAGGATTATAAATAGGAACGGTAGGCAGCATATTATTTCCAATAACCAATCACGTAACAGAATGTCTTTGTCTGTATACGCTGACTCTGGTGATCAATGCTTCATTACTATTGGCTTTTACAAGATAAAATTTTTATTTGGTAAACTGACAGCTGCCAATTCCTCACATGAAATGCTTCAGTTTTAATATTGCCTTTGCTTTCTAGCTATAAGCGGTATATTCTGTAGGAAGAATGTCGGGAAGACTGTAGGAAGACTGCCACTGGAAGGCCATTACATATAAAAAAGGAGCAAAACTAAATGTTGAAACATTCATTTAGACCTTAGCTTCCTTGCCTATGGCTTTGCTTTCAAATAAGTCTTTCCCTTATAAATGATCCTCAGCATTGTTAAGTATAAAATATGCCTGTTGACTCTTTTACTGATGAACTGCTGATTTATCTGGTTTATTTTTTTCCCCCTAGTCTGTGTAAGAGAGCCAAGGTAAAAAAACAAACAAAAAACAACCTCCCCCACCCTCCCAGTCATATTACCAGTATAAAAAATGCCATTATTTTTCCTGACAGTTTTTAGCAATGTGTCTTTATTCCTTACATCCATCATCATCACTGATCGTTGTTCGTGTTTTATATCCTATACTGGTAGATCTTCTCAAGGGAATCCTGTAGCATTAATCAAAGATATTTTACTTTGTTTAGGATAAAGGCCTGATTATTCTGATTCATTGATGTAAACAAAGAGTAACTCCAAGTCAGTGGAGTTACACAGATGCAAACAACCTGGATATTTAACTCATATGTTTAGCATTTTGGTCAGGATAAGGTTGGCAAATACTTACACTCCCAGAAGTGTCCCATCCTCAGACTTGAACCAGTCCATAGCATAACTTGAATAGATGGTATGGAAAAGGTTCCCTAGGGAGCTTGTGCTTGTAAGAGGTTGTTAACATAAGAACTGCCATTTACTGGGTTAGATGATAGGTCCATCTTGCCCAACGTCCTGTTGCACAGGGGCAAAGTGGATGCTGAAAAGGAGAGTAACTGGGTATGACCAGTGTTTTTTCCCTTTGTTACTCCTACCATCTGTGGCTGCCAAGGGGCATTGAATATATATTCATTACTACTAGTGCCAGATTTTGTTTTGTACCATCTTCCACAAAAATTTCAAATGACTACATTGTGTTCCTTTTTGTGGAGCCTCTAAGACAGTGGTCTCCAACCTTTTTAAGTAGATCACCTTTGGCATTTAAAAGCAACCCAAGATCTACTGTGTGCTGCTGCCACTCCTCCCCCCCCC